TTCCGATCTCCCCAAAACCCCAAAACCCCTAACCACTTAAATGCTTAAAAAAGAAGAAATCAAATTACTCTTGATCATCAAAAGTTTAATTTAGTTACTTTAATTAAATTTATTTCTCTTAATGAAAAATTTAGCTATCAAGAAATCATAAAATAAAGGGAATATCACTGAGTAAAAATTGAGAGCAGACGTATTAGTCAAATCTGATAAAAAGACAAATATTAATTTTTAAAAAGTGCTTAATCTAGATGGAGATTGTCGCCAGCCTGTGCATGATACCTTTAATTTTAATGATTTAGATTTAGACATTAATGAGGACATTAAATTTGCTGATGATTTTCACAGAACTCCACTCATCAAGCCTAATAAGTTCTCAATTAAATCTCTAAAAGGCTAGGTTGAGAGAGTTGAGGATAATTTTGAATCAAAGACTACTGAAGCATATATTACTAATGAAGGCGAGGAAAATCTTAATGATGATGAGTTCTAAGAGTTCAAGCCTTTCAAGAACACAATAAATTTTTAAAATACATAAAAATTGACAAGGCTACAAACAGCAAAGAGTTCTATTTAGTTAGGTTACACAACAGAAAGATTTGAACGAAAAAGAGTCGATTTAACTAATAATAATATGGCTATTGAGGTAGGAGATTGTTCAGAGTCAGTTGATTTAGAATTAATTCAAAAGCAGGTTCCATATGACTCAGGTACCATAAAACCCTAGATCATAAGGCCTATACTTATGTAAACACCAAACAAATCAGCCCCAAAAGCTTATAAAAGGACTGGCTGTAAAACTCCAAGCACTACTTTAGTCTAATTCAAATAATGTAGATAAATGTTTGCCTAATAGACAAATAAAGTTTTGTAGAACAATATGTACTAATCTTGCTCTACGTATAGTTTGATAAAAACCCCAAATAAGGAAAATTCTTCAGCTAGAAGATCTACATCCAGGTCAAATAATAGACAGGACAGCATCTTAATATACAATCAAAATGTAATAGATAACCCAGATAATTACTATAACGATTAGACTTAAGATAGTTAGCAAAAAAGCAGATTGAACCAATTTAATATAAGAAATGAAGAGGAAAAGAATAGAATTAGATTTTAGGAGGAACTTAATGAGTGGCATGAGAAGTATAGTAGCTTGAATATAAGTAACTATCAGGATTAAGTAAGTGTCCCTTTTGGTACTGAAGGTTGCGAGTAACCTGTGTAAAATACTCAACTTTCGCATCGCAGATTTGCATCAAATTCAAAGGAAAGATACTATAGAGATCAATTCGCTTCAAATATGAATACTCTAAGTGCCTACAAAACTGCTGTATGCTTTTGATTTTTGAATGATTTATCTTATTAACTTTTTTTAGGATATGGATGATAAGGAGTATAAGACACAGACAAAATAAAGATAACACTTCTAAGAGCAATCTTCAAGCAGAATTAAGCTGACTTACTCTGATCAAAAAGAAGATCTTGAACCATACAAATCAAGATTTAATTCCTAAAGGGATAGTGACACAAATTTCGCTCTAAGAATGCAAAACTACCACAACTCATAAGTATTCTGAAAGAAAAGCAGATAATTTGAGTTCTTCGTGAAAGAATGATTGGTTAATACTAAAGCTTGAAGTGTTGTGTTACTATTTTATTATGCCTGTATGAAAGCTCAGCGAGTTTTTATTTATGAATCAACATTATTTATAGCTATGTAAAAATATCTCAAAAGGGGTTTTGGGGTTTTGGGGTTTTGGGG